TATGTATATTTGCATTATGTTAAATTATGCTTATTTATCCTTTTATCTTTGTGAAAAAAAACACTTAACCATCCAAACTTTTTACAAAGACAATGTTTTCCATCTGGTTTAGCTGTAAATAACAGATGTTAAACACAGATCTGTAAATCATTCATTTATTTTCCAGAAATCTTTAAATATATTTGAAAAAATTCAAAGAAACTGCAGCAGATACAGTTATTTCTTTATACTTTCACACCATGACTGCACCCTTTTTTATTTTTCTTTAAATACATCATACCGTACCTGTCCTAACAATTATTGTTTCACTGAGCTGAGCGGCGCGGTGCAGACCCCCCCCATCATCATCTAATGTGAAAAGGCACTTCACTGCGTGAAGGGAAGCTGGGAAGGTGCAGACTCTGAGCAGCAAGTAGATTTAATAGTTTCAAAGCGTCGTTAGACCCGTTCATGCAACCTGTCCAGAAAGTAGAGCCAAGCACCCAGCCAGAGGGGGAAACGTCTCCTGGATAACACCATCGCGTACAAAGGTCGGAAAAATTAAGTAGTGACAAGAGAATCTGCTCAGCTGCATCTCCCACCATGGTTCATAGTTATTAGTTTGGTTTCAGAGTCGTTCCTCCCAGAGATCCGGCAGCCTGCCAGATAAATCCCATGTTTACCCAAAAAATAAAATAAAATAACCTAACAAAAATTAAGTCCCGGCTTGTTTCCTCTGCTACAGGATTGAAGTGTTTTGGTTAGCTACACATTTCCGAGTGTTACAGCTGAAAACAAAGTGTGCTTCAGACGCAGCGTGGCAGTCAGAGGTCTGCGGTGCGAGTTTAAGGGCTTTGTGGCGCCTGCGTGTCTCACTGCTGGGACAGAAGAGCGTTCCTGTTGGCCTTCATCTTCTCCAGGCGCTTCACCAGGTGGCTGTTGGTCATCTCCATCTCCTCGATCTTATCCTGAGCTGTGCGCAGCTGTGGTGGGGGGGAAAGAGAGGAAGGGGGAGTCAGACATTGATCCCTGACGTCAGCCTCGCATCACAAATACGGAAGTAAATCTGTGTCGCTGGGATTTCAATTAAAAATGCCACTGAAATTTAAATGTATGCTTATACTTACTGTTTCACATTTTTGACCTAAAAAAAATTCATTGAAATTTCATTTATTTTCTCTTCAAGCTAAAAATTCACATTACTATTTCAGAGTGATTACATTT